CTCCCCCTTGTAGACTTACATGCAGACAACTGGGGAAGCTGCTCTCCATTGCTGCCTTGCTGCATTGCTGGCCACATGCATGTTTGCATGCACAAACATGCACATGACACCTCTTGTGTCCTGTTCCCCCAGCCCCAAACAGCACCTTGCAGGCTGGAATTCTGCCAGCCTGCAAGGGGGAACCTACTGTTTCCCAAGTTTTTCTCCTTTAAAGGAGAAAATCTGCATTTTTCTGCAGAGAACAGAAAACCTGGATTTTAACAGCAAGGAAAATTAACAACTGAAACAGCTTTTCAATGGATGTGGTAGATTCTCTGTCACTTGTGATCTAAATCAAGATTGGATATTGTTCTAAATGATACACTCCAGTTTAGCCACAAGTTATTAAACTGATGCAAGAAGCATGGTTTGAAATTCTCTGGTCAATGATATGTAGTAGAGCAGAGAAGATGACAATATTATAGTTCCTTCTGGCCTGAAAATATTAATCTATTGTCATGCACTTAAATGGGTGATAGATTTCTCCAAATTGAGTTTTTCAAGAGCACACTGGCAATTAGTTGTTCATCAAAAACTCTTTTTACATTTGCATTATTATAAGACAAGTGCATGGTTGCATAGGTATTAGTAACATTGTTTTCCCATAGTCACTGGGTAAACTGCTACAAGGTATACCAGCAATTAGCACTGCGAAAAATCATGGGCTGCACTATCAATATTTGGAGGCAGATTCAAATATATAGTTAGTCATAGAGGACTGAATTTTATTTTCTATGCATGTCTAAATGGCAATTTTCTAGCCATCTACCTGGTCATTTTTGGCCCATGCTTTATGTTTTGAAAACATAGAAGACAAAATGCATGTGTAGATTATGGCTATGTGCAGCCATGTGGGTGTGGGACTACACACATGCTTTGTAAGCTTGTGAGCAGGACTTGTGCAGGGCTGGGGCCTCAGGGCTGCATAGGCAACTCATATATACATCTATATAAATATATATATACACCACACACATCCATATTACATACATGCACATGTGTGTGTGTGTGTGCATCCAGATGGTTACTGGATGCAAATACAGGAGCCCAACAATGCATCCTTCTGATGCTCAAAAATTGAATTGGAAAAGAAATTAATTCCTAAGTGTGAATTAATTAAGTACCTTACTGATGACCCTGTTCCTGAAGCATATAATGCATACTGCCTCCATGTAGAGCCCTGATGAGACCCATGGGGCTCCTTGCAAATGTAATCCTTGCATTTACTTTCAAGCTACAGGTGATTCTATGATTCTGTGATGTCAGAAATGGGTCCTGCAGCCCAGGTTCAGAAGAGCATTTAAGCACGTGTTTATCTTTAAGAACTTAAAAGTGTTCCTTTTGAAGGACCCCTTACTCTTTCTTTCTGAAAACATTTTAATTTTAGCACATATTCCATTAGTAATGACTTATGGAGGTGTCATTGATTAGCTATAAGGGGAAAAACAAAAAATACCCCGAAGCAAGAATTGAAGACACCTACATATTTCAGAGAAAGAGCGTGTTAAACAAAAGTCACATCACCACCAAGGCTCTCTGCAGGCTAATGTATGCTCCTCCATAGGGTAAGTTAGTCCACATCAAGTGGGAGAGACCTTGTTTCCCCTAGCACCCCCTGGCATAA